ACATTCATATAAAAGTGAGTGGATTCTATTAATTTTTTCTCTCTCTTTTTTACAATGAGATTCACTCATTTTTTTGTGAATGTGACAGAGAAATATTTTCTATATTAAATTTAGAAATGTTAAACCCTTTAACTTAAGAGTAAAACTCTTTATATTATATGCATTGAAAAACTCTTTATGAAATGTGTATACTTAAAAATGTGTATATATACTTAAAAATGTGTATACTATCTAGTTGAAATGTGTTTACTTAAAAAAAAATTCCAATAATTTTAACTGCAAAATTGTATGACAAAGGCCTAGTAAACATACTTCCTAGAAATAAACTAAAAAGTCAAGCTCAAATTGCACCATTTATATACTATAAATACAAAAGTAAAGGAAAAAAATAATATATTTAATTCAAAAATTAAAACAACAATATATAGCATTCATAGAGTTTGGTTCTTTAATCCACTTGCAATATTTCAAAAAATAACTTAAATAAACCTCTTTATAAGCCATACTTTATGAGCATCCTTGTTGGATTTTCTAGCTTTAGGCAGCCATTATATTGTACATCTTTTTGTAGGTCCTATCCATTTATCGATTGTCGTCTTCTTATGAGCAAAGTAGCAAACCATCCAAAGCAATTTTTAAGAGTTGTTAATTTGACCATAATAATCCAAACCAGTGAGTACTGGTGGAAATAGGTTAGGTTAAATTTTGACTTAAATAAGTCAGATGGCTTGTGTAAAAAATTTGTGGTATGACTTGACCTATTAGTTTTTGTAGGGTCAAATTACAAGTTTGGATTGACTTATATTTAAAAAATAACAGTCTTGGCCTTGGCCTATTAGCCTATTTAAGTCTCTTAAATATTTCATAATTAAAAAATAACTAAAATAATATTACTATATTATTCAAAATTATTAAAATAATAATTTTATTTATTTTATTTGAAATAAATAATATGATATATGCCGGCCTTAAAATGTATAGGCCCGACATATACAAAAAAAGTCTATAGCCTACTTTATAAATAGGTTTTTTTAAAAATATATGTATGTTTTATTTGACTATTTATAATATGTCAAATCTGACCTAATATAGATTAGGCTGTAGGTCTCTGTAAGCCGTCCTATCCAATTTATACCTATATAACTAAGTAATTAATATCACCGTTTGTTCAGTGGCAAACCCATTGGCTTCAGGTGGAAAAGAGAATGTGGAATCTCCTTTGTTCAAGTGAATGCTATTTTAGTTGCCCTATTTGGGCCATATGCAGCAAAAATGTTTGCCCCATCTTGATTAAATTCTAATACAAGTTGCTTGTTAAATGAGTAAATTTAGATCCTTGCCTTTTCTTGACATGCTTTTGTTTCTCTTTGTTCTAGCCATTTCAATTTTATAGGTCAATAATGGCAGTCATTATCCAGTAAGATACCAATTGTGCATTGATGAACCTAACTTTGTACATAAGAAAAGTTATGTGCATTATATATGGCCGCAACCAATCAAGTACTAATGGTGGATTACGTGGTCTAGTAAATCGCACGTTACAATTGGATTCTTATCCAAATTAATAAGCATATATTATTCACCTATAAAGCCCTTCTTTATAGAGCTAACTACCACCCAAGATATACTCACCACTAAGCAAAGCTTCGATTATTTAACATAAAAACAATTGAAAGTGAAAACATATTGGCGATGGCACAAGGTAATATAAAACAGAGTCCCACAAGGGTTATTTAATATATATATATATATATATATAGGGATTGTAGTTTGTCCTTTAACATGACACCATCAAATTTCCTACACTCACAACATTTTATGGGACCCACACTTTTTAAAACAAAAAAAAATTAAAAAAGTTAAGGCACGCAAAACGAATCTCTATAACATTACACAATCATTTTTCCTACAACATAACTCTTATAAAACCCATATATATATATACAGATCTGTTTACAAATTTTTTTTTTATAATTACACTAATGTAGGAACGGTCGTACACTGTGTGATTAATGTAGGACCGATCCTACATAATATAGTTTGTAAGAATTTGTAAACAAAAAAGTTTGTAAATATAATATATATATATATATATATATATATATATATATATATATATATATATATATATATCTTTTTTTCGGTGAAAAGGGGTTATTTAATATTTAATACTATGAACTTTAGGATACGAGGAAAGTCATAAGGATTTCATATAAATTAAAAGTTCAAGATTAAATCCAAATATCATATGTAAATACTGGATTGAGCTACTGATATATTTTTTTTATACAAGCTATTGACATTTTAATTTGCCTTTCGACACTTTCTATTTTTTATTTTTTATTTGTTACTTTTCAAATTTGTCCTTATTTATTTTTTTCTAATGAATAAAATAATTTTACTTATTTATTACAATGTAATTTCCTATCGGCACTCTGAATAAGTTACAACTAGCCCTTACCATCAATATTCATACTTGATTGCGAGATCTGGAACTAAAAGGGATTAATTAATAATATTAAAGGAGCAGGGACCGACTACAACTATCAATTGATTCTATCCAAACTTGAATTTTCTTTTATATTATTTGCAGTTAAAACTTTCAAATTAAATATATAAATAATTTATTCCGAAAAACTCAAACATATATAAGTATAAAAATCACAAGCCGTAACCTATTTTATTAAAATTCATCTAACATAATTGAACACGATAAGGAATTAACGTGAAATTCTTCAAGCATTGAAAGTTTTAAAATAGGGTCCTTTTTTCATGTTACAAAATTCATGCAACCTTTTTCAATTATATATTCTCCGAAGTACATAATTATAATATTAAAATTATTATTTTTTAACTATGTACTTCCAGAAGTATATGGTTAAAAAAATTATTGTTGATTTTCTTTTAATTATGTACTTCCGAAAATACATAATTAAAAAACGATTACAAGAATTTCTGCAACACGTAAAACATGTTTCTCTTTAAAATATGATGAAGTGTAAACTTAGGTGCACAAGACTTCCGAATTTGGAAAAGTAGAGGTGAGGATTTATTATATCCGACTTTATCCTTACATTTTTAGCAAATAACTTGTTTTTCATACTCGAATGCATGACCTTTTAATCAGAAGGAGTAACTTTATGGGTACTCAAAATTTTAAAAATATGAGTTAAATAAAAATTAATTTTATATCATTTAACATGTTCAAGGCTAGTAATATTCAGTAAAAGAAAATGTGCATTGTAATTCAGCACAACAGACAATTAATACTTTGAGAAACAAAATAAAGGAATATAATCCCCCCCCCCCCCCCCCCCCAAAGATGGATTGGTAATAAAGAGTTTTTCTTTTTTTAAAAACATAAATAATTATAGAATTCAAAAAATATAAAGGATGTGAATAGATAAAAAAAAAATTAAGTTGAAACATCATTTAAGTGCATTACAAGAATCGGATGTACCAAAAACAAAAAAAAATGAGGATAGCAGGACAATCCAGAAAATTCAAAGGTGCTGCTTTGCCTTCTATTGCGTTGTCCTCCATGATCCCAGCTCAAAAATACTTGTAAGCTTGAGCTTAGCGGGGAAATTCCAAAAGAATAATTGTATTGATATAAAACCATTTGGTAACAGTAGGGTGCTAAACGAACCAAGGGCTTTGCCTCGGCTCGTGAAGACCTGAGCTTACATATCTAAAATTGGTTGTTGAAATCAACTTTAAATTTGTATAAAAGCTCGTTTAATAAAAAGGCAAGCTCCAATTTAAAAACTCAGTTTTAGAACCTCTTAGACTGACCTAGTATATTATTTATTTATTTTTATATTTTTTATATTACTTGTAATAGTCCTCTCTTTCTCCTCAATCCATTTTACCCCATTTTATTGGTTAAATAGACTTTGTGAATGATTTTGTTCTATATTATACTGTTTGGATATACATTGAATTTATGAAAATTTACGAAGTTATTAGTGTTGTTCATTGTATATTTTGTTTGGATAAATTTTTGTTGTCTTATTTTTTTTAAACAGGCTAAACCAGACTTTTATTTTTTGTAAATAAGTCAGGCCACATACCGATAATTATATTTATAACAGGTAACAGGCTTGGTTTGACACATTTAAATACAAACTTAATATTTTAAGATCAAAGCTCAACTCGATTCGACTCGGACCGTTAACGCTCCTGGCTAACGGTTTGCATGAGTTAACCATCAACAAATTCGTCATATCAAGGCATTAAATTAGAGAGTTTATTGAAGCCCGTTAAAGTTTAGACCTTGGGTGGTGTTCCTAGCCTAGAACAAAAATATTGGGCCCTTATGGGCCAATATTGGGCTGCATAGTGTAGCCCTATTAAACATTGATTGCCTAGGCTTTAGTGGATCTGGTTGTTGTGATCTCATTCAAAAGAAAATTTATTTATGAATACCTTCATAAATTAGAGATTTGACATTATCAAAGTAATATTTCACAATGCCCACAAAAGTGTGGGTCACAACACGATCAAAAGTTTTTGTATCCAATGCAAGGAACTAAACTAATCGAATCAATTGGTATCTTCAATCTACTATCTTGAAATAACAAATTGCTTTATTCTTATAAACATTTGAGTGCTTGACTACTAAACCTTTTCCTAGCATAGATTAGGGCAGCATTTGATGTGGCTATGAAAACTGGGGCTACTAGCTTGCGTATCAATAGTTATCAAGTCCATAACATGTTCTACAAGAACCTCACTCAAAGATCCGACTAAGAATTTGTTCACACACAACCATCTTATTAGGGAGGAAGCAGGGGAACTAGTATATACTAGTTATCCATCAAGCAAGGTATAACAAGTCCTAAGCCACCAAAAATATTCCCAATTTTTCAGAAAGTGTTAAATATCCAAGCAAGACATTTATCATCCATGACAAAGCATTTTAAATCCTCTAAAAACATATATATAAATCATGTATAAACTTAGGAATCAATCAATCAGAAAAAGTAAATATGCCGCGTTAAGTATTCCATATAGAATAGGTTCAAGCTATATTAACTACTCTATTTGGAGGTTCTCATTTCAAAGGTTAAATAAGGCTTCTATTTTGTATTTTTTTCTTTCAGCAGAAGAAAAAAAAAAAGGAAGGGGGAGGGAGGGGATTTTGGAGCTAGGAAAGGACATGTAGTAACATAATAGAGATAATGTAGGACATTGAATCTTTGCTGCATCAATCTCCTGCATAAGGACTAAGAAGTGGATGTACAATTTGTAGGGTTGGTTGTGTATCTACACAACTTTATCATCCTGGTATTTAGAGAAGCTCCCACTCAGGTTCAGCAATATCAGAAAGCAGTGGTTTCTTTTGATCTTTCAGTAAAGTTGGACATGAATTATCCACCCAATCACCCTTTCCTTTTTCATTGTTCCCATGCCATGTTGCAAGTTCCTCATACTCTTGCTTCCTTGCAGAGTTCTTGGATAAAGAAAAGGGTTGTGGCTTCTTTTTCTTCAAACACGGGAAAAAAAGACTACAGTTAGAGCTTAATATGCATAAAAAATAGGAGGGAAGGGAAGTGAAAGTGTGTACCTTGCTAGTCTTTAGATTACCCCCTGCCTTGGGAACTGATTGAAGTTCATCTCTGGTCACCATAACACAAGTTTCATCAAGCTTCAGCTCATCATCTTGTTGCATGGTTTTATGGCCTTGCTCTATACCAGTATCAACCTTTGCTATATCCAAACTCCATGTTTCTGGGATTTCTTAAATAATCAAAAGTATCAGTTACCAAGAGCTCAAAACAATATGAAATTGAATGACTACACATTATGAGCTCATGTGCGCCTTGAGCCTGAGCATGTTGAGAGAGGGATTATACAAAGATTTTTTCTTGTCTAATACTTGAAAAAAAAATCTACTCCAAAAACAGGATTCAGAGTTATTGAATCTAGGTACACCCACGAAAATGTCGCAAAGTAATAAACATTCCAATCAGAGTCAAAATGAATATAGTATGTGCAAAAAACAATTTTTTGGGTCATGAATGGGCTACAAGTTCTCTACATACTCTACAAAAACAGTTCAGTCGTTTAGTGAAAGAAGAGATGCCACTTAGTATTATTAAGAAGATAAGCAGAGAAGAGAAAATTTTTTGTCTCCTATTCATATCAATGGGCTATAACAGACAAATGTCAGGAAAACTTCATAACACCCCATCTCCCAAAATTATTGTTCTGAACTCTCAAATACAACCAAATGGGGATGCCTCCATTATTTATTTTCATGCACCTTTTTGCAAAAAGAGACCAAAGCAGCCAACACCAAGATACACTCCCTCAAATTCAACTAAAAGAGGTCCATACTCCATGTGCTTAAACTCAGTAAGTGCATCTAAATGGTGTGTACTAATATGTAAACTGAGGAAGTACTTCATAGTTCATAATGATTTTAATTGATAGTTAAATTCAGCAAGTATTTCATAATGATTTGAATCAATACCTGGATGAGATACAATGATTGCATTATCAGAACAATCATCAGGCTGCTTCGTTCTGACCATAGAGAACTCTACCAGAAAAATAATACAATTGTTACAGCTCCCATCAGAAGTAAAAAGTTACCAACCGAAAAACAATGAGGAAAAAGTGAAACTATATAGACACTCAAATACTTACCATATATATCTTCATAATCGACGCTGGAGGAAGAACTCATATTCCTCTCTTTCTCTTCAGCTGATTTAACCAATACCAGAACATTGGAGATCTGTTCAGTACTTGCATTTTCAATTTCATTAACACAGTCTGCTACAGAGGCAAGGGTTGTTACTTCATCAGATTCTGGCTTTGAAACAGCAACTGTATGATTTTGATTTACATTGAGGAGTTCACAGGATCCAGCGTGGATTACATCCCTATCAATATTATTATTGATCCTTGAATCCTTTGTTGTTTGTTTGGTATCAGCCTTTGTAGTTATTTTTGTGGAACATTGAAATGACTTCTTACATAACCCAGCATCAGAATGTTGATCTTTAGGCAATTCAGGGGCTGCCTTTTCATCCAAATCAGATGAAGATGGAGGAATTAAATCTTGCATGACATCGGAATAGATCTTTTTAACACTTTCCCCAACAGTCTGCATCTGATTCTCTATGTATTTAACAGTTTCCTATCCCCAAATAACAAACAAATAAAAGGATTATAGTGGACTGTTAATGTAAATCAACAGCAGGCCAGGAAAATTAAGTCCCAAAAACAGTTCAATCAGGCTAGTGTTACACAATGGAGATCATATACAAAATGAATTTCAGAAAGGTTATCACAGATTACCATAAATACCAAGAAAAATATAAGATAACAGTTTCTTTTATGATTCAACTCTCAGTGCAATAATATGTGGTAACAATACTAACAAGAACTATAAGAAGAATATGTAGGACATGCAACTCTACTAATAGCAGTGGAAGCATTAAAATAATATTAAAGTCTTTGGTTTTCAATGACATATATAACAAGCATTGGCATGTCCACTCGGAAAATTTGAGTTATCTTTCCTCATGTTAAACTTCAAATGAGCATAGGGTAGATTAAGGATAAATAATGTCAAAGGCATACCTCAAACACTGAGTCTTCCACCTCTAGGCACATATCCTCAAACTGCTGGTATATATTTCCAACCCAAGTTATGCCTTTTATGTCCATAGCCATCACAATACACTTTCTGGAATAGTAATTAGAGCTGTCCTGGTATGTCCGATTCGACTAAGATAAAAAATATTTGAACTTGAAGGTGATTCTACCTGATTATCTGGCAAGAAATAATGGAAAAAATCAACAAAGACTCTCGATGGTGGTAATTCCTATTAGCCTAGAAGTCCATTTGATCAAGGAGTGTTATTATAAAAGACATAAAATGGGTTGCAGATCAATTCCATCATAGAACACATTCATATTAAACAATCAATTAAACAGTTCCATTACCAACTATAAGAATCAGGGTTAATACTACACCCTTCAAGTAATTTCCTGCACACAATTGACAATCCTATGCTTTTAATTATTTTGTTTTAAACGGTCTCTCTCTTCAAGAAGACAGAAAAAAACATAAACAAACACAAACTCCAAGCTTACTTGATCAAAATTACCATAAACAAGACAAGCAAGGAAAGATTATAAATTTGCCAAAAAGGAAAGTCTAAAATTAAATTAAACCCAAAGAGAGAGAGAGATTATACCACAATAACAACATATAGCCAAACATGTAAATAAAAAAACAAACTTGTAATCAGAAAACAAAACCCATTTAAAACAATACTCGAATAAATCAAAGGGCAGTGATAAAAACAAGAAGTGCAACACAGAACAGAGTTTACTTGTTGAAAGACACACAAAGAGAAGAGAACACTCAGCAACACCAAACAGAACGGGTCATGAAGAGAAAGTAAGAAGAGTCCTATGAGAGAGAGAGAGAGAGAGAGAGTCAGCTTCGCTGAGCCTTACGTTTGACATGTGGGTTCTGATTCCTAAGTTACCTTTTAATCACTGTTGTTCACTTTATCGGTGTGTGGGCCCATTAGCATGCCTTTGTTTTTTTCACCTGCCTTAAAACTGTTTCATTTTGTACTCTTATTTTGTTTTATCGATTCCTCCTTTTAAGAAATTGATAAGCACTTCTCCATTTAATTTTTCTTCTTCTAAAGATATATACTTATCTATATTAGCTTTGTCTATGCCAAAAGTTGTTTTTTTAATATTTTAAAAATGACTTTATGATTCGCTCATGAACAGAATGAGCCAAGTTTCGAATTATAAAGAAATTATCAGATAGGAAGTTTCACCCTAACAATATACATGATGGCAATTGTTAAGTGATTTTTCCTTAAAAAAAGAGAGATTGGTTTGCATTGTTTCAATTTTGGCATAATTTGGAGTTTTTGAAAAGAAAAGATAAATTAGTTATTTTTGTTCATTGAATAGGAGATCATCCGATTAGAGTTTCAAATTTGGCATGATGCTTATTTCGCAAAGAAGTTTGTTAAATAGCTAAACCTTTTAAGCGGAAAAAAATTTGCTCTTCAAAGTTTAAAATTCAAACCTAATATCTCAACGAGCTTTACGAATTATGATGAGATTGTATTATCTTATCATATGTTTGGGATAAACTAAATAATATCCGAATATGATATAAATAAATAAAAATATTATTTATAACAAAAATATATTTTTTTCAAAAAAATTGATTTCTAAATTTTTATTTTTTTACTTATTTATACATTGGGTTTAAATTCTATCTGACAACGGAAAATTTTTTAACTCTTCTACTGACATTTCAAATTCTGTGTTCGCTTTTTTATTTTATTTTTTTACAAATAAAGGACCCACCATATTTTCTATCAATAGGAAAATGAAAAGTCTCTCAAGTGAAACGAAAGACATAAAACTCTTATACCTTTGATAACTTTTTTTCAGAGGGTGTTTGATATGAGTATTTTGTAAGGAATGAAGAGAAAGTGGGGTAAGGAATTTTTTTTATCATGTTTAATATGAGGAAACTTAAAAAAAATCCCAACAAAATTATTTCCCTCATTTGTAACTACACACTTCAAAAAATATATATCTCACTCCACCAATGGTAATATTTTTTTTCCATCAACTCATAATCTCATTTTAATTTTTTTAGACAAAAATGCTCCGTTGTTTTATATGAGCCCAGAATCTCATTTCAAAATAATGGATAATTTGGTAATTTTAGTTCAGACTCTAGTTAATATTTTACAATCAATCAAACATTGTATCAGTACAAATAACGCAACTTTCCCGAAAAAATTTAGCTTGCCACACTTTTTCATAACTTACATGGAAAAAAAATTCTCACTATATTCTAGGAAAAAAAAAAAAATTACTTCCCTACCAAACACTCTCTTAATTCAGTATTGCCACCACAAGTAAACATGTACATGGACTTGTGCAGGTCAAAAGCCTCACAATGACATATGGGTTGGGCCGATTTTGACGGTTCAATTTGGGAGAGGATTCTCTCATGTAAAAAAGTGGTCATGTTATTTGATCACAATCATTTATTTAAAAATTATACACTTTTCTCTCTCTTATCTCATCACTAATAAATGGTTGTGATCAAATAACATGACTACATGACCACTTTTTCACATGAGAGGATCCATTCCCGTTTAATTTTGATTATATCTTGAAACAATGATTTTTTTTTTTTTGTAATCTAAAACAATAATATTTATTATGGAAAAAGTGTGTGTCATTTAAAAGATATAAAATTATGTAATTTTAATAGAGAGAAAGAGATAGATAAAGGAAGAGAGAGTTGACAAAAAAAATAAAAGTGTGGGTCCCACTTCTTTGTGAGAGTGAAATAATATAAGTGATGTCATTTAAAAGGATAAACATTTTTCCTAGTAACAATTACAGTGAAATATTTATTATTCAAAAATGCTTTTAATATAAATGAAAATTTTGACAGTTTGATTTTTCTTTTGTAAAAATTAGTTAAATAATACTTTGTATAATCCTCTTATTTTTTTATGCCACAACAAATCTAAGTAACACTAACATTTTACATTTCTTAATCTGAATTTTTTTATTGAATTTATACTTTTAACATTTTTAAAAGTATAAATGGATGTTTGAAGTTATGTAAGATATTATGTACTACTATTGTAGATTTGAATAATTTAGTTATACTTTTATAATTAATAAACATGTATTTAAAAACTTAGTTAAATTATAAAAAAAAATTAGAAACTTAAAAAATTATACTTAAAACTTTTTAAATTATATGAAATTATTTAAAATTTAATAAAATGATAAAAAAATTACAAAATAAATTTTTTAGATTTAAATCCTTAAAAACAAATACCAAGAATTTATTATTTATTAATTTGTTTGCCAAAAAAAGAGGAAGATTTAAAAGAATCTCAGAATAGGTTCTTTCTTGTTTAATTTTAATATGAGTAGGTCATAAAAATCTCAACCATTCAATGTCATCTCATTGATCAATAATTAATTTGAATATTTCTTCTTATTATTTTATAAATTTTATCATTAAAACTGTAATCATTTATCTGTTACTGAATGGTTGAAATTCATCATATGATCATGTTAAAATTAGATATGTGACGATCAATTCGTGTTGGACTTATCCAAGTGCACAATATTAATTATTCATTATTAGACAAATAATATTTTTTTTATTATTCCACATTAATGAATTTAAGTTTGGATGACTCGGATAATGCAAATTATACTTTAATATAAGTTTATTTTTTCTAATTTATTCATATTTTGATATAAATGCATTTTTAAGTATTGGATTTATATACATACATATATATTAATTCTATAATTGATTTTATTGAAAATGACATATAAGAATGAATAAAATATAATATAAATAGGAAAGGAAAAATCTTTAAAATTCTTATTGAATCGTTAAAAAAATATAATTATTATACACATATTATATATATATATATATAAGATATATAGGGTCTTAAAGTTTCTAAAATTACTTTAGATAACTTTATCTAATGTTTATCAAAATGTATCCAAAAAAATGAGTGGGATCCATGTGATGAGAAGAGAGAAAAACAATAAAAAATATGGCCCCACACTTTTATGTGTGTATTTTGGTGAACATTGGATCAAGTTATCTAAAGTAACTTTAGAAATCTTAAACCCTATATTATATATATACACACACACACACAAACATATATATATATATATATATATATATATATATATATATATATATATATATATATAATTGGGAATAAAGTATCTAATGTTACTTTAGAAAATATTGTCTAATATTCACCGAAACGACGCCGTTTTGAGGTTAAAAGATTAAAAAATTAGAATAATAAAGACTATTATAACACTGAAATAAATTATAATTACAAATACAACATGATATCCATCACAAAACAACGCCGTTTCGGTAAACATTAGACAATATTTTTTAAAGCAACATTAAAAAAATGAAACCTATAAAGTATGTTTATATTATTATACTATATATAATTTATTTTATATTAATAAATATTTAAATTTTATTTATTTTATCTATACTTTTATATTATTTTTAGATAATGTACATTTTGATATAACTCATGGATAAACCCTAATCCAAACCCGCTAAATTATAGAGTTTTGCATGTTAAGAAGAAAAAATAGCCTACTATAAAATGAGCTTAACAGATTAGAACCATGGCTTTGAGAACTATTTCCCATTTTCAAACCTCAAATCATAGTTTTGTCCATTTTCACTGGCTTGTGAGTTCCCATATTATTGACAGCAGAAATTGTCTTGTTATCTGGGTTTCGTTTCTCTCTGTCCATTTTTCTATTCTTGATTCCCAACCATATAATGTAACAAATCAACAAGGCGATAAACGCTCAATCTTGTTTCAATTTTTAATACCAGCTCTTATGTTATCAACAAAGCTATGAACCCACCCTTGTTTAGGATACACCAAATGACTATTGAAGCATGACAATTCTGAGAAATGTAAAGAAATCATAAAACTGAAATAAATTGACTCAAGAGGGAGGAAAATCTCTCATAGTAGTAGCCCTCGCAGTGCAACTAAAACAACCACCGATTACAAACCATATAAGTTGATTCTTAATGACATTTTGTTGCCTATGAAGAGAGTGTAGTTTCTTCTTTCTTAATTGAATCTCCAAGCTGAATCAACAGTCTGTGGTATTTACCAGATGAACAATGAGTGTATAATTTTGCATGTTTCCTAATCGTCACAAATTCAGACAGCGCAATGGTTAAGTTAACCAGCCGCTTGGAAATCGCCAAAATCATCATCTGGTATATCCTGTGTGCTTTGATTTTCAGGAGAGTTCTCACGTTCTGTGTCTTCTTTAACTGTTTTAGAGGTCTCAACTTCAGAAGTTTTCTCAAGGCTGAATTTTGTAGGTGAGTTTGTCGGAGAATTCTGCACGGTAGCAGCGGGTGAAAGTGGTGCTGGAGGAGGTGGTGGTAACTTAATACTAGGTACAGATTCTTTTGTTCCACTCTTCTCTTCTGAAGAGTTGTTCAGACCCTGGTCAAAAAACTTAGACTTCACATTGAGGCCACTTCTCTGCACATAACATATAGGATAATATAGAGATCATGATACTGAAAAAAGAATAAAGATTCATGAACAACAGGAAAATGCAGATTTTGCATACATTGTTCTTAATTTGCAGTACAAGAGTCTCTCCTTCTTTCAAACTGTAATCAACTGAGGAACTTTGCTGGTAATGTTGTTCCATCTCTTCTGCAGTTTTCTTTTTGTTCAGATATCTTCACAAAGATTTAGGAAAAGACATGGTTTCGATTTGTAAAATACACAGCATGAAGACCTTCAGCCTCCATGTAAATGTGAATAAAAAAATATGTGCAAAGATTGCCAAGTTTTGCAGATGGTGAGATAGACAATAAAAATAATAAATCTAAAATATGCTAGACGGAGGATACTTCATATGATCATGTAAGGCAGCTTGGAAGTCATAAGCCTCTGTTCTTTCTCGGAATCCTAAGCCAATAAAAGCATGCCGAAGGCGACCACCTGCATGATTTTCAAATTATAAAGACCACACTTCATAAGTGATAAGAAATAGAGTGCAGAAAAAAGTAAAATATGTATTTCATAATAAGGGGTCAAAACTCAACAGTCTTTCAACTTGAAAGTCCAAACAAGAAAGAGGTAAAAAGTACTAAAGTAAATTTGCTCATGCTAAAAGGAAGTACTGCTAACGCACCATGAGAAGTGGGGGCAGGATTAGATGGATAGAGAGATAGAAAGTATGAATGTTAAACAGAGAAAGTGGAACTGTGGAAGATAGTAAAAGCCATTTGGCGCAAAAGGATAGAACCCCACTATATACAAGTAGTAGAGTACCAAAAATATGATCTGGTACGGTCATATTCTGAGAATTTGTGAGATTTTGAGACAATTTGTGCAATGAGCAAATTTTGAGACTACTTGGTCATACAGCCTACAAGTTGCCGGTTGAAATTTCAAGACAATTTGTGCAAAAAAAGTAAAGATTCTGAAGTTAGGAATCTTTATGGTTGTTATACTCTATCATTGCTATGATGCACCGACACTTCAGAAAACCTGACACTGACACTCCCCAACACTCCAACACATGTTGCAGAGGCTCAAAAAAGAATTTAAAGGTTGCGTTGCATTACATTTTTTATTCCAACTATTAGACTTGTTGGATTACGATTACCATTTTATTGAGTTTATATAAATATTTGTGATATCTTATGTTTCTTTGCAAAATTGATGGGTATTACAAGTTTAGATTCATTTTTTTTACATTATTGAATATTAAATATAATATACACTACATAAATTAAAAATATTATTTAATATCAAAACGTGTTCTAACATATCGAAATCTAACAATTTTTAGAATTAATGTGTCATCGTGTCATGTCGTGTCGATGTCGGTGCAACATAGTATGATTGTTCACATATTCAGACGAAATAAAAACTAGGGTTTCCTATATCAGTCTCAAACAAAAAAAAAGATATTTATCCATTGATGCGCCCTTCAGGAATTTTTGTTCTCATCTGGTGTTTCTTTAGAAAATTCAAGGATTACTTAAATACTGAAAGACCACGTCGGTACTAGGGTTTAATCAGAAATATGCTTACAAGTGAGTTTACAAAAGCTTTCACAAACAAGCTAGATTCTTGACAATGACTACATAAATAATCTACAACTAAAAGAAGTTGCTCCCGTATACTTGATAGGAAGCTCGATTTTTCATTCTATTTTGTTCCGAGAGGAATAGAAACTAATTTTTATTATATATATACAGGGATATTCTACCTACCTTTTTTTCTTGCCTACCTTACCTACTCATCTTCAATACCATTGGATCAGAATCTCACTCTTTCTCTCTTCTCCTGAAATTCTAATCCAATGGTATTAAAGAGGAGTAGGTAAGGAAGGTAAGAAAAAAATGTAGGTAGAATAACCTATCCCATATACTTGATAGGAAGCTCAATTTTTTATTCTATTTTGTTCTGAGAGGAATAGAAACTAATTTTTATTATATATATACAGGGATAGGATATTCTACCTACCTTTTTTCTTGCCTATCTTACCTACTCATCTTCAATACCATTGGATCAGAATCTCACTCTTTCTCTCTCCTCCAGAAACTCTGATCCAATGGTATTAAAGAGAAGTAGGTAAGAAAGGTAAAAAAAAAAAGTAGGTAGAATAACCAATCCCATATATATATATATATATATATATATATATATATATATATATATATATATATAGGGGTTAATGCTTCTCCTACACACACATGAGAGTGTGTGGGGTCCTATTAGAAAAAGAAAGAAAAAGTGAGGTCCACCCACTTCCATATGCGTACAGGAAATAAAGTTATATGTTGTTTGCAGGAGAAACCTTAAATTTATATATATCATTTTTTCTAATTTATTATTTACTTTTACTTAATATGTTCTTGCTTTTATATGGATTAATGAATTACTAACTCCAACTAGTTTGGGATAAAAGCAACTCTATTGTTGTTGTATTTTGTTCTTAGAGGAATAGAAACTATATTTAAAAAACTGCTCACAACATTGTTACAGCTTACTAAAATCTAATTTTGGGAACTAAACCAAACAGGTTCTCAAGTTATTTTATCCTATTTCCTTCCATTACAACTCCTACCCTGCTAGCCCATACATTGGTGATATGGAGATTAAGGGAAGATATGAAGAAGAAAAGCAAAATGTAGACATAATGGCTCACCTATGTTCTCTTCTATCCGCAGAACAAAATATCTGCAGAATGTAAGTACAATTATTTAAGCATCCTGAAGCATATAAAGGTATGCGAACATCTAAAACCTATCAAGTCATGGAAAACCACCTGCTGCTGTCAATAACAGGTTCCACAGGATGCGGCTCTCCATTTCTTAAAAAAGCCCGAGCATATAACTCACCTAGTTAAATATATTTGTTGCAGTGATAAAAATCAAAAGAAAAAACAATTAACTGTATAATCCAGCTAAAGCAGATTTAATATGATCTTACCTGTGTTCTTATCTTCAAGTCTTATGATGCATTCTTCTCCCTTGCTAATCACTTTCAATATCCCTTCCCATGCCCATTTGTTGACATCCCATTCATCAGCCCTGAAATGAACTTCACAAATATAAATATTGGGAATTGACACCCTTAACAGCAACCAGATTTTTTTTTCTTTTTTCAAGTCACTAAACTGGCAAAAGTTGAAAATGAATTCCTTCCCAAAGGAGAAGTTCCACAGGTAATGAATGACACAAAATAATTAGAAAATTTAGCAAAATGTACTAAACAGATCCTAAAATTCTAATGAATGGAAGATACACTTTCATTGACAATGAAAAGTGCGGCTTCTTTACCAAGCTAGAGTACATTAATAACTTTAACATTATGCTAAAGATGCACTAAACAGATCACAAGCACAACAGATCAGGATCTATAATTTGAAGTCGATCACAAACCTGTAAGAAGCTGCACTCTTTCTTGGAGGTATCTGCATAAATAGTAGAAAACCATTAGCTTGACACCACAAAAGTTTTCAAATCCCAAGCTACCCATTTCATCACAGACACTAAATTCAACTTAAAAAAAAATTAAAAAAAATTAAAAAAAAAATTGCAACATTCAATGCCACCAAAATTTCTTAACAAGCTTAAATGTTGTACCCCCATTCAATTGCAACTTGAATTCCCACCTTCTTATCACAACCCATTGCCAAAACCAATTCATCAAAATCATTTTGAAACAAACCCATCATAAAAAAGTAGCTAGACTTACTATGTAGACGTAACACTCGGGCACTTGAAAGAGAACGAGCTCTATGGGTTCGGTCTCTTCGCTTTCGCCTCCACTTTTCTGAATGTCGGACTTGTTCTCCTCCTTCTCCATGATTGGGAGGCAGAGAAAGATTGCAAATTTGATGACAGAGAATTAGGAGGCAGTGGAAAAGTGATCTGGGTATGTGGGATTCGTTGATTTTGGAGAAGAACTTTGCAGGAACGGAATCGAATTTCAGAGAATTAGGGTTTGGTTTTGGTAATTTTTTGGTTGAATGAAGAGAGAGAAAGTGTCTGAAAGGAAGGTTTGTCTCGGCTTCCTTCTCAGGAAGGAGATGACGCTGCACCGAAACGGTTCTGCATCAGAGCTACGGTTACCGTCTGATTCGAATACCTTTGGGATGGACGGTCTGAAATGGAGGATCTGGTAACTGGAGCAGTGATTGCTTCGATTTTAAGTCAAATAGGAAACGAAGGATAAAAATCAATATTTTAATATTTATTCTCTTTTATGTGATTTTTTTCTTAAAAATTCACACAACTAGATTTTGTAATTGATGCATACATAAGATATTATCCTTTGAGAATTTATTGTTAAATTTTTGGGGTTTCTAAATCAATGCTCTCATTCTCATAACTTGTAAATAATCAATATTAGTTTAATAATAAATATAAAATAATGGGAGAAGATTCAACTAATTTATCAAGATGACGAGCGTATATAGCTCAGTGGTGCATGAGATAAAAGCACGTGTTCAATTCTTTTCGGTATTGTTTTTTTGAAGAGGTTTAAAACCTTAACCTGAGATTCACCTCGAATCAGACTGGTCACAAAGTAAATAAGAAGAAAAATTATGAGTGTCACAATTTTAAAAATTACAATAAGTTAATTGTTTTAAGTTCATCTTAACCTAAGGGGGCGTTTGGTACAGGAGAAATTTTTATTTGTCCGGGAATCTCGATTTTCAAAAATATGATTTTTGCATTCAGTTTACGATAATATCTGAAAATTTAAAATTTAGAAAAATTCAGTTTCCCGAGAATCTCTCAAAATCCCGCATACCAAACGCCCCCTAAGGTGATTCCCCGCTACCTCTAAAATGAAAAGTATAGACAACAGAAACGATTTCAGTGATTTTCTAACTGCAAACAATTATGGGTGTTTGATGGAGCATGCACGTTGCAGCGTTCTATATTCTGTATTCTGTAAGCTAATATTGTTGAGTTCTTATTAAAGTCATTTTTATCTAATTTCCTGGCTCGGATTTAAGGAGGTTACCAAAAATTTTTTTTTTTTTATTTTGAAAAGTAGACAAAAGAATGAAAAAAGGGGAAAAAAATGCATAGCGAAATTTAAACCCATATCTTTTTAACATTAAGACAAAAATAAATAATAGAATAGCATAAATTCACCCACCTCCATATTTTGTATTTCTTGCGAATGAAGAAAATTTGAAAACTTCTTCAAATCTAATTACGTATCGACTATCATATTATTTTCCTTTAACTTATTGTGAATTTTGTTTTCCTCACCCTTTCTCATAAAATTTTCTGCATCCGCTGGTGTTATCAAATGAGTCTCATATGTAACCATTATTAACATAACTTTCAAGAAGTAACCCTCTATAAATCATTGCTTAGTTAACACCTTTATGTAACTCAATCCATAGTTATCAGATTTTCCAAACATACTTGCTTATGGTATATTGAATTTCTCATAGTGCATGCTGCTTACTAAATATAGATGACCTGAACCCATAAATTTTAGAGTAGTCTTCAATCACATAGATATCTTATTCCTTCCCTGCAGCCTGGCTCAGCAAAGAGTAGAGTTTCAATATGTATTTAAAGAGAAAAATAACCTAGGAATTTAAGTACAAAAGCATAATATAACATAGGTCAATTTATTAACAATTTTCAAATATCAGCATACAAATGTTTTGCTTGCTTTATACATAGTCATAAGAACCAACTATCCCAACCAATTATCTCTCAAAAGCTTAAGGTGAAGGTTTGAATTTATATCTATAAATATTACTAAGAGAAGAGAATTCATGACAGAAGAAGCTTTTCTCTAATCAAGTCACATTATCATAGAAAGACTTCATTGTGTCTTTGGTCAAAAGATTAAAAGATGCAGCTATCCACATTAGAAGAGTGGAAAGACAACATTTCATTATATCTACTCGAGTTTCCATGCCACGTGAAATTGCTACTATCACTCACTCCTAATCAGATATATGCTATGCATATGGAGATTTAGATTACTTTAAGAAAAAAAAGTTCTCACAAGAAATCTCCTAAAGATGATGAACTGAATATAGAAATCCTCCTTCTCTTTCTGGTTTCTGAGATATCCTGTGAAACAGAAAATCTATCAAGTACAGAACTAAGAGCTTGGTGAACTGAGCCAGCAAGAAATTGACGGTATTCAGCATCTTCAAAGTTCTGTTCTTTGCAGCTAATTATCACAAAGACATTCTTCATCCTGCCACCCAAGGTTGCAATCTCTGCCCTTCTGATCATAAGATGAAGTGCATCAAGTGCTTGTCTTATTTCAGACAATAAACCAGGTTTGTATTCACAACATAGTGATGCCCTTATTGAAAAAGGGAAACCATTCAACCCACCCTCCTGTTCTTCAACTCTTACTTCATCATTGTCCTTTGGTATCATTAAGCCTTCACTAGCTTGTGCAGCATTTGTTTTCAGATCCTTCATGTGTCTAATAACCTCAGCCAGTAAAGATGCTTTGTCCATCTATTCATAAAAGCATACAAAGAAAAACTCAGATTTTCAAGCTATGAATGAATAATTTAACACGTTTGTACTGAGTCTACTGACATGTTTCATGATTCAAATTGTGAGCATAACTAGGTTTCATAGTTAATATCAAGTTCTTCTCATCCCTTCTTTTAGTAAAAGAAAACTGAAATTGTGTCCTTGAAAATAAAAAACTACATCAACTAAAAAAAAAGAAGAAGCAAGACTTCAGAACCGAACAAAATGGCTTTACTCAAATATGAGTCCCAAAATATGGTCATTTACTACCTGATTTCCACTCCAATTGTTTGAGCATCCAAAAAATCTTTTAATACATTTTGAAGTTAATTGTTTAAGAAGTATCACTTCCATTATTGTTTTATGACCCAATTCAAAGAAATGACTTGCTAAGGTCAACAATAATCACCAACTAACCAAATCATATTAATACATATTTTACAAGGAAAATAAAATATATATATATATATATAAAAAAAAAAAAAAAAGCAAGCATTAAATAATAATAATCTGGCCCACAGATTTCCCTAATTTAACATGCAACAATAATTGAACAACTCATAAACTAAGCCAATCATAATCCTGTATTTTAAGTTAATCATGTAACTGCCACAGATGACAGAAGAACCTGTTCTCAACTTGAACAAAGCTAGCATTTACTAGTTGTGTAAATAAAAAAAAAAAAATTGATAATAGAGAAAGCATTATATTGAACTAACCTTCTTAGCACCTGGAATAACACTGCGAAGTGTATCAAGATGTGCATTAATTCTTGCTCTCCTCTTCCGCTCTGCCTCACTATGGTTCCTCAAAGCTTCAATACTTCTCTCAGGGGACACACCCTTGCGTTCCAACTTCATAGGGGCCTCCACAAGCTCTCCCCTCTCTCTATCCAAAACCAGAGATGAAGATGGAGCATACCCACTTCCAATTGCACCATCAGTTATCCTCTGTGGGGCAAAAGCTTCCATTTTCAAGACAAAAAAACACAGGGCTCAAGAGGGTGTGTAGACACAAGGAAAAAGAGTATACTTTTTGAGACAGGACACGGAAGACAACCTCGGAAGGTGAAAGTGAAACTGGAGGTGATGAAACTTTAACTTTGGCTGTGCTGTGTTGTGTGATTTCCATAAGGAAAACAAGGCAAAGCGTTGTTTCTGTTTTGAGACAAGTTCAATAATGAAACGGCAAAGGTTTGTTCTTTGTCATATTGGGGTAATGGGGTTGGAGAGAGTGTATTTTGGAATGAAAGATGCAGTGTGAAAGGGGAAGTGTCTGTGTCAGATGCGTGTAGTCAGTGTATTATGATGATAATGGTGATGATGATGATGGTGAGATCCAAAGAGAACTACTACTATTTCGGATTACCTCTTATGGTGGGGGACTACACCTTAACACTTTTAAAGACCAGAAATTCTTGTCTCTTTTCTTTAAGCATTTTAAAATCAATAATATTGACACAAATTATATTTGAAAATGAATTTAAATTCTGTTGTAATATAACTTTTCTTATTCATATTCCAACCCACAATATAGTAGTCTTTAATATAACAAAATTTGTTTTTTTATTCATACCCAGATCATATATAAAATTATTCTATAAGTCAAACTTTGGTTATCGATATTTTTCATTATTTATATATGAGAAAAGAATTTCTCCAGTCACCGAAGATAAAATTATTTTCGATAAGTTCAAAATGACGTTGTTTTAGGTTATAAAATTAAAAAATTATAATTATAAAGACTAATATAATCTGCAATATATTATAATTATAAAAATACTTTAATTTCCATTTTAAAATAATGTCGTTTTAGACTCATCAGAAATAATTTATCTCCATGAAGAGATTATTTACCTTAATTAACATCGCCAATTCACTAAAAAGAAAGTGCCAATAAACTTGTTCTTTGTAATGGGCCGAAAATAATGGTTGAGTTTGTTGGCCGTCTAGACCAATCACTGTGAGTTACTGTATGTATTTTAAATTATTTTGTATTGAATTAAAATAGCATGGATAATAAAAACTGTAGTATCCATTTCCTAAACATTATTAGTTTCGCAATATTTATATGATATTTAAGAGTTTTATTAATTTTGTTATACCATTTTAAGGATTTAAATTAAAAAAATAGAGTTGTGCAAATTAATCAAACCGAATCGAATAGAATTGTATTTTTTTTAACTAATTTTGAGAATGAAATTAGTTTTATAAACCAATTTAAAAATTAGAAATGAATCAAAAGAATTGGTTTAGAAATTCGGTTCAGAACAAGTACGAAAATCATTTCAAACCGGTTCGAATTGGCATATCCAAACAGATTCAAAACTGGTCCTAAAACATATTTTGGCTCTAAAACATGAACTGGTTTTAAAACAAGAATAATTTGATTGGAAATCGGTTCGGATAAAAAAATTTGGGATCCACTCATGTCCACCTTTAATTTTTCTGGCGAGACACTTACAATACTTGAGGAGTAGAATATTGTGTAGAAAATTATTTAAGTGATCATTGATATTTATGTTAATGATAATGATTGACTTTCTTGAATACTGAATGGTACAAGAATTCCAATCTCATCTTGATACGGCAATATCTCAAATAGACAAAGATAGAGAACAAAACAAATACAAAAGGAAAAAGGCTCATATTCACAAAATCTAGTAGTGACTCCCACTCCAACTTAGTGGTCCATGCTGAGATTTAATTTTTATTTCAAAAACTTTACCCTCCATTGTAAATTCACACATGATCAATATAAAAGAAACTCGAATCCAGTTCACATTCATCCACCAAAGGTCTTCAAATTCAAATTTCCTCTCGAGTGCTGAATGCTGAAAATTCACTGTTGGATAGGTTTGTCGTAACTAAAATAAGCCCAATTAGCCTTTTTGGAACTGAACAATATTTGTCCACACATATACACTACAACACTTAATATCAAATGATAATAGTTAAGTTAGCGTTAGAAAATTGAACAGGTGGAGTGAGAGAATATATTTCATCTTTTTCTATTATCATTTTTTGGAAGAATTTAAAGACTTAATTCCAGGATCCGTCCCAAATCAAACTAGTGACGAAGTGATGAAACGATCGGAATATTTCAAAAAATAAAATAAAATACACTACAACACATAACAAATGAACCCTCACGAGTGCTGAATATAGACAAATGCATATTTTGAGCACATTTTGAAGGGAATCTTATGTATGAGTCATGAGTTCTTAGTCTTTGAGGTTATATAATATAATTATTTGCCATTAACTCAGTGGTCTTGGGTTTAATCCAATATAGAACTGCATTAACAGTAATTGGGATTTCTTGTAATCTCTAAATTGCCGCAATTTGCGTTTGCGTCTCTTCCGTTACTGTAACGCACACAAAGCTTGAATTTTCTTTTGGAGTCATGGATAGTGATTTGTGGGAGAATGTGTTAAAGGCTTTTTTTTTTATTCTTTGTTTAATGAACAATTGCGGGGTTTAAGTTAGGCAAAAGCCAATTTTGGATGGCACCCTTTAGGATAAAGAGCCAGCTAATCACTTTTTTATTAAGTTAATTAGGCCTTTACCAATTACTTTCCTTTGACATTAGAGTTGTGATCCATTATCCACGTCATTGATGGTGACAACAAACACAGCTTTCTTTGAACACGGCCACTTAGATTCACACACCTTTATCTTAATGGGCATGAAGGTTTCTTTGTCACCCTTATTTTAATCCCTTCTGTGTGGTCCTCACTTTCCCACTAAGGCTAACCTGAATTTAGGTTGGTAACTTGGTTCATTGTCCACGTTTTGTACCAGGCTTGAAATCCCAAAGATTTTCGTTTCATAAATTTAATTTGCAACTAAATAATCACATCGTGGATAATTATTTTGGTTATGTATTTTTTTATTTAGAATAATATTTAAAACATCGTCGTTTTTTGGATTGTAAAATTAAATAATTATAATTATAAAGACTATAATAACTCTGAAACAAAAAAATCACGATTTTCGTCCCAAAATGACGTCGTATTAGGCTTACTGCAGATAACTTATCTGCAGTAATTGCAGAAAAAGTGAACTCGTTTTTATTCCATGACCATAATTTATCTCTTTAAACCAAAAGTAGACTTAAGGTGGGAAAAGGAGACCGCACCGGCAAATGATTATATCAAGTGACGTGATAATCAATTAGTTCTAACTTCAAAAATCTTTTTCAAAAAGAGGAATTTTAGTGCTCCCGTCTCACCACTGACTCAGTAAGGACGGGCCAATCAAAACTTTCTATTGTTTGTTATGTTGTACGAATAAGAGAGAATTTTTTTTTTAATCCAACTGTCATTTTTTAAAGGACCACAAACTCCCTCAAGCACTAAAAAAATTTCCTATTCAAGATTGGAACATTTATTCTTTTGGCAATTGGTTCATCCTCAAACTCATGTTGTTACTTGATTCAACCCTCTTGTTTGTATTTTTTTTAAGTTTAATTGGTCATTTTTTTAATAATTAATTTAAACTTGACCCTGTTTAAATTCTTCAAACTTATCGCTAGTAATGTTTTTTTGGTTTGGTTTCCTAAAACTTGTGAATAGCAAAATACGATTATTTTTTTCCTTTTTCTTTTTGAACATGATCTTCTCTAACAAGATTAAATCATAATCAATATTATTAAATTCAACATGATGATTGATTTGATTGGGACAAATTAATATATAATAAATATTCTAATTAAAACATTCTAGGTAATATTTAACTATGGCTGAATAGTTATTGTTGCAAGCATTTTTTTTCTTATTATAAGTTGAAATCTCGCGAACAAAATTACCTAAAAATAGTTTACCAAAAAAAAAAATTACCTTAAGATCTTTTGCACTAAATTAAATTAATGATTATATCATAAAATCGGTGTCAGTTTAGCACGATCAACCTAATTTAAAATTATTTCAACAGTTTCTAGGTAGATTCCTGATTTGGAGCATATTTTTAGTGATGTCGTAATATAAAAAGTAGAAAAAGTAAGATTTTAGTGACATTGATCATAAAATACTGTCAGGTTGAATTATTATTATTTTTTCGAACATTGATAAGTGATCTTCAGTATCACAGGAATACCGGAGAGATGTTCCCTAATTTAATTGCCTTGATCGTATCGATTAGTGGTTTGATTCTCAATTGAATTGGTTCGACCACTAGTTTAGACCAATTTTAATAAAAATGATTGTACACACTCCTATGGGATAAGAAAGAAAGAAGTTATACACGTTCTTGTAGTTGGATTAAAAAAAGAATATTTGCGGGTTACTCTTGTTTATACACGCCACTTTTATACATTTATATACGGTAGTATTTGATTTAATTATACTGAAGTCACTCAAATTTTTCTTGTACGTTTCATGTTTCTACGCAACAAACTGAGTAATGTGCACAAGTGCTGTTCACAAATGTAAGTTTGTGGTGTGGCCAAAAAACAAACACCATAAGTTGTCGCATCATCCTAGTTATGTGATGGATTATATATATAGAAACACAATGTAGAGCGCAATGGGTGATGTTTCAAAGATCAAAATTCTAGGCTCAGCAAATCTAAAGTGTTAGAGAATAATATAAGGGGATAGATTTATTTGTCACCAAAAAAGTTTACCACTCTTATAAGTTACAACCAATTTTATTATCATTGATTTCCGTCAATTTAATGGTTATGATTTATTGAGAATTAATAAGTTTGACCCAATAAATATTATTAATTCTCAATAAACCATTAAAAAAAGTTTTCATCCAATATCTTAATATTTTTGGTTAAAGTAATTATTTATATGGTATCAGAGCTTTAGTAATCATAATGTCACGAGTTCGATCCTTATCACCCTCACTTTCTAGTGGAATTAAATAAACACAAGGTAAATAAAAAAAATTGGGTCGTGCAATATTTACTCAAAAGACTCTTACGTGAAAGAATATATTAAAAAATAATATAAATCATTAAAAAGACTCTTACCTAACATTTTAAAATTTTGGGTTAAAGTAATTTTTATTGTAGATCTAAATCGCGCGGAGGATCATGTTCATCGAAATGATGTGAAAACAAACACAGAGGTTGCAAGAAAAGAAGTAGATGACAAGACAGAAGGACTGATTTTCAAACAACTATTACCCCACTTGCAACTATAATTGAAGTGTTGGGAAATAGCTGTGTGTCTGTTAAAGATGAGAAGAATATAATTTAGTTTTTTTAATTAAAAATGTATTTATTTGCAATAAAATGTAAGAGATTGCGTAATGGTAATGAAGTGTTACGATTATACGATATATTCTTATGAGTGTCCAAGTTTGCTATTAAATTTAGAGAGTGGCATATTTTAATATGGATCCCCTGTTTAGCAACATGATACAAA